AAGCTGGGGCTGATGCGAGTTGTGGTGCAAAACTTCTGGTGGGGAACTGAGGCAGCCTTGCGCACTCGCACATACTCCAGACTTCTCCATTCAGCCCCACAAGCCCCATTTGGTGCACACATGTGCATAGATCCACACCACCAGTTTTACACACCTGAGTGTGCTCACCACGTGAAGCAGGCAGGCTCTAGGGCTGCATGTTCATATCGTGCTTCTGAGGTTTCTTCCAGACAGCTGGCTGCTGCCAGTGTAATGAATTATTGCTCTCCTGTTGCAAGCTGTAAGTGGAATTTCAATTGACTTTCCACACCTTCGGGGATTTTGCACTTCCACGCCAGTAGATAGGAGAGGAAGATGCAACCGGGTTAGTAGGGTGGGGGTGGGGAGCTCTAAGTGATCCTCACATAAATAAGTAAATCAAAACCTCTATTATTTATTTAGTGCTAAGCATTCTAGTGTGGTTGCCTATTGCTACCCATGAAATGTTAAAACACAGTGCAGATTAAAAAGTGTTTAATTAGCACAAAACCAAATCAAATGAGAAAATCATGTCTAAAATGGTGCTGATGGAAAGAGTTTAATCTTTAAAATCAGCGCTATAGTTTTATAGTGCTATATCAGTGGTACTATAGGTAGAAAAGAATTTTAGCACTAATGAAAAGATCGATTTAAAGCAATTAACGGGCTTTGAAATGGTGTCCAGGAAGGTGTTTTGTCTATGAAGACAACATAGAGTTCCTTTCACTCTTTCACCTGGGTCTTAAAATGTATTGGAGGCTTTTAGCTCATACTGTAAACAGAAAAGCCTCTCTCAACACACTACTCCAAGACTAAAATAATGATTTTTTGGAAAACGCAGCCCTCAATATAAATAGAGTTTGGATCAACATGATTTACAGCAAACTCGCTCCTTCAGATATCTCGGAGTCCTTTTTAGTGAATCATTGTCTTTGAAGTGGCATATACAAAGCACAGAAAGCTATAGGGACACCGATGAAGTTTTATTTTACGGAGTGTGGACAGTTGTTTCTTCCAGCATTGAATCGTTTTGGTAAGCAAAGTGATCCCACAAATGCTGTATGGAGCTGAAATTTGGGGTGACGATGTGAACTCTATTAAAGGGTTAGAAACAGTTCAGAATCAATTTCTTAGGAGATAATTCTCCTTAGCCAGCGGAACAACAGCTGCACTTCTATGTCCGGAAACCAGATGGACAATGATCAGAGCAAGACTGCATCCCATTCAACTATCTGAAAAGATTTACTTCCTGACCCTGCGAGCTTTTCCAGCCCTGTGCTGTATGGGGAACAGCTCTGGTGGAAATCAAACATTCAATGTATCCTGGATTACTATTGTGTCCATGAATTGAACAAGTTTTTGAATATGGACAAGAGTCCACTAAGGCTCTACTGGACAGAATCTGGATGGGACCTACAAGAGATTAAATCTTCCAAATGTTCTCTGTGGTTCCCACTCTTAAAACAGGGCATTTTAGAGCCAGTTATTTGTCTAAAAAACTCTTACCTGGTCCATTAAGACCTGCCTTTATTGAGCTGTGTTACTAAGCAATGCCCTCAGCTGTGCTGGAAGGGCGTTATAAGATTTCATACGTAGACACTGTATTTGTGGGCAACCACATACTTTTTTATTTGTTATATGGCACAGAACCTATATACACAGAACCTAGGAGATCTTTTCTAAATCCTGTTTGTTCAAGAAAGCAGTCTCTCACCCCTAGTAAACTGGCGAAAATGTATAATTCGAAGTCAGACACATGCTGGAAAAGTAAAGAGGAAAAGGGTACATTCTATCACATGGGTAGGCAAACTAAGGCCCGGGGTCCGGATCCAGCCCAATTGCCTTCTAAATCTGGCCTGCAGACGGTCCTGGAATCAGCGTGTTTTTACATGAGTAGAATGTGTCCTTTTATTTAAAATGCATCTCTGGGTTAGTTGTGAGGCATAGGAATTCGTTCATTCTTTTTTTCAAAATATAGTCCGGCCCCCCACCAGCAGAGGCGTAGCAAGCCCAGGTGGTATCCAGTGCGGAATTTTTTTTGTCACCCCCTCCCCCCACATCGACAGCTCGGGGTAGGCTTGGGAGTCGCGGGCGGGTGCCAAATGTCCGCACCCTTCCTACGCCTCTGCGCCCCCACCCCTGTGACTCCCAAGTACGCCGAGCCATTGGGGGAAGGGGGAAGCTATGCCGCTTTGCTGGGGTGCTGGCAATTTTTTTAATTATTTTTTTGTACCTATGACATGTGGGGATTGTTCAGTTCTGTTGCATACATTTTAGCATGTTTTCATTTATTGCTTGCAACTACCTCAGTTTTATTTTTGTAATTATGCAAATCTTTTGATGTTGTAAACCGCCTGGATCAAGGTTTTAACTATGGGAAGGTGATGAAGATGCTCCTCTCGTGTCTCCAATCAATCTGGTTTTCCGAATTTTTGCTTTAAGGTACAGAGCAATGCTTGATGCGCATTAATGCTTGAATTGTCCCTGTGCAACAAAGGAGCGATGTAAGAGCAAGCGCTGCACCAGTTCCACCCGGCTGACATTTAATATGGATATTCAGTTGTATTTATGGCATGCTAGCATCCCACATGCTCAGATTGCACCATGGGGTGGCTGGGCACACTCCCCCCCGCTGAGCTTCCCACATACTCAATCATGTTGGCTGGAAACTTAGGTACTTTCTTTAAAAAAGGAAAGGAAAATCAAGATTTGTGGGGTGCTGAATTTCGTTTATTTATACCAGTGCTTAATAAGCATGCTGCAAGCTCACATGAGCTCCAACTTTTCACTGCACATGCATTATGTTATTGCACACTGCTAAGAAATTAGAAAATGGGGGGGGGGGAGACCCTGTATGCACTTGGTACATATTACCGTACAATTTGTGGTGGAATTGTAAGCTGGTGCAAGATTTTTAGAATTTAATTTTGACAGAAATGATAAATATTACTAAAACTCTGCTGTCCAAAATGAATGTTACTGGATATTTTTGACGATACCAGTGTAGATATGTTGTCAAAAGAATTGGTCTTTTGCATGATCTTGGCAGCTCAAATAGCAATTGCAACTCGGTGGCAAACAGCCTAAAATCTTACACTTACCACTCCCTCTGGAATATGGCTATGATGGAGAAAATTATTCATAATCTCCACTTGATCACTGCAACGAAAAGCCTGGTTGAGCTTTCACAGATCTCACACCACAGAGAGAACTTCTATATCACCTCAAGGTTTATGATATAACCAGTTCAGCTTCACATCATTAAAGGCAGATGAGCCAAGCGAGTGTCAAGAAGCAACCAAGAGGTTTGGCTCTATAAACCAACACAGCCACTGTCTTGCATTTGCATGTAGAGCTGCCATTAAGGATCTTGTAGCCTGGCTGGTCTTTTCACCTGCAAGAAGCCATCTATAGGCAGTGCGGCATAGTGGTTAGAGTGTTGGACTAGGACCTGGGAGACCAGGATTCGAATTGCCACTTGGACACGAAGCCCTCGGGCCAGTCACTCACTCTCAGCCTAGCCGACCTTGCAGGGTTGTTGTGAGGATAAAATGAGGACGATGAGATTTATGTATGCCACCTTCAGCTCCTTTAGAGAGCCAGTGTGGTGTAGTGCAGTGTTTCCCAACCTTGTGCCTCCAGCTGTTTTTGGACTACAATTCCCACCATCCCTTGCCACTGGTCTTGCTAGTCAGGGATGATGGGAGTTGTAGTTCAAAAACAGCTGGAGGCCAAGGTTGGGAAACACTGGTGTAGTGGTTAAGAGCGGTAGTCTCGTAATCTGGGGAACCGGGTTCGCGTCTCCGCTCCTCCACATGCAGCTGCTGGGTGACCTTGGGCCAGTCACGCTTCTCTGAAGTCTCTCAGCCCCACTCACCTCACAGAGTGTTTGTTGTGGGGGAGGAAGGGAAAGGAGATTGTTAGCCGCTTTGAGACTCCTTGGGGTAGTGATAAAGAGGGATATCAATCCAAACAACAACAACTCCTCCTCCTCCTCTTCTTCTTCTTCTTCTTCTTCTTCTTCTTCTTCTTCTTCTTCTTCTTCTTCTTCTTCTTCTTCTGTCAGCTCAGCTTTCCCCTTCCTCATGTAGCGGGCAATGAACCACAAAAGCAGGCGCTGGCAAAAATCACCATGTGGAGAAAACGGTGAAGCCAGCCAATGCCCCTACACACCTCCATCCTTATTTCTGACATCGTGACATATGGATATATTGAGATGTTTGGCTGGTGATATATCATGATGTTGAAAACCAGATATCACCCAGTCCTGGTGAGAATTGGAACAGTTTGCAGAGGGTGCCCAACGGTTTGGGGCGATGAGATCCAGACTCTCCAAACTGGGTCAATGTAAATTTGATGTCCTGATGAAATTTAATGTCAGTGTTCCTGCACAACCTGTGTGGTGTAGTGGTTAAGAGCGGTGGACTCGTAATCTGGTGAACCGGATTCGATTCCCCGCTCCTCCACATGCGCTGCTGGGTGACCTTGGGCCAGTCACACTTCTCTGAAGTCTCTCAGCCCCACTCACCTCACAGAGTGTTTTTGTGGGGAGGAGAAAAGGAGATTGTGAGCCGCTTTGAGACTCCTTAAAGGGAGTGAAAGGCGGGATATCAAATCCAAACTCTTCTTCTTCTTTAGCAGAGGTGGGACGTGCATGTAATTCATCATCATCATCTATAGAACCCCCCTCTTTCTCGAGGAGCAAACGAGCCATTCCCCAGCTGGGATGCAACATCTGGAAATGGACTTTCACAGGAGACCAGTCTGAAGATGCTGAAGACGCAGACCTTTGCTCCCAATGCTGTCTGTGCTCACCACAGCAATCTAACCCCTCACTTCTGACCCCTCATCCCTGACATCTGTCTCTTGGACACCAGCCGGCCCTGTTCCACCCGGGGACACCATCTCCACATGCTCCTGAACCCCTACTGCATAGCAGCCCGTCACCCACCCACCAAGAGACAGATCCCCCATCCACTTACAGCGAAATCACATCCCGCGGCAGGCTCTTGGGGATGGCCTTGGAGTCGACGCAGAAGGCTGTGTCTCTGGTGCAAGAGCAGCTGGGCGGGCAGGGGGGAGGCCTGGGGGCTTTCCGGCAGGTGGCGGGCAGCCAGAGGCAGGCCAGGCCCAGGAGGAAGAGGAGGAGAAGCTGCCCCAGCCTCTGCAGCTCTGCCATGGCCTTTTCCTGGGAAGGAACCAGTCCTCCAAGGCTGGGGAAGGTCTCCCCGGGGAGAAACGGGCGTTTGCAGCAGCAGCAGCTGAGGAAGACGATGCAGGAGCAAGCCGAACTCTCCGCTCGCCTCCTCTACAGCTTCTGGTTCCTCTTCTCTGTGTTTGCAGGCTGCTGGGAGCTATCTCATCCCTGCAGAAAGCTGCGCTCCTCCGCCAGGCGTGATGGAGAGACGCGCGCAGCACGAAAGCACCAAGTTCTGGAGTGATCACTGATGGGGAGGGTGGATGGATGAGCGCATCGCTGACTGGATGCAGCCTCAGCCTGGGGGTTGTCGCGGCGCCCGCGGGGGGCGGGTCGTGGAACAAAAGGTCGGCTGCACGTGGCAATAGAGCGCAGCAGCAGCAGCAGCAGCAGCAGCTGGAAGGAGCTGTCCATCTTCCGCAGCCGAGGAAGCCTCCCCAATCCAGGAGAGGGAGAGGGAGAAGGGTATCTTGGGGAAAGAGGCTGAAGAAAGGGGGCCAGCGTCCCGGCACGCCTGGCCGTGCAAGCTGTTAAGCCGGCACTTGGAGTGCTTTAGGGGTGAAACAGAGTGGGGTTAGAGCTGCGGACCTCAGGATCCTCTGGGGTTGCTGGCAGAGAGCTCAGGAACTTTGTTTTTATTGATTGCATTTCATAGAATCAATGCTTTTCTTCCTGGAAAAAAACAGTTATGGGGTGCTCTCATTTTCCTACTCATATTGAAATACTGCCCCTCAATGAGGCCAAACTTAGATTCACAAAATGTTTAGGGGTATGCGTACCCCCAGAAAAAAGCACTGCATAGAATCATAAAACTGTAGAGTTGGAAGGGACCCCAAAGGTTCTCTAGTCCAACCCCCTGCAATGCAGGAATCTCAACTAAAGCATCCCTGGCTGACAGACAGTCATCCAGCCTCTACTTAAATACCACCATGGAAGAGAATCCACATCCTCTAAGGCAGCCTTTCTCAACCTGTGGGTCCCCAGATGTTGTTGAACTACAACTCCCATCACCCCTAGCTAGCAAGGCCAGAGCTCAGGGATTATGGGGCTTGTAGTCCAACGACATCTGGGGAGAGTCTAAAGGGAGTCCATTCCACTGCTGAACAGCTCTTACTGTCAAAGTTGTTCCTGATGTTTATATTTATATCCCCCCTTTTTCCTCCCAGAACTCAAGATGGTGTGTATGGTCCTCCCTTCTTCCTCCTTTAATCCCCACAACAACCATGTGAAGTGGGTTAGGCTGAGAGACAGTGCCTGACCCCCAAGGTCACCCAATGATCTTCATGGTCAGCTGGGGAGATTTGATCTCTGGGTTCCCAAATCCTAGGGCAACGCTCTAACCACTATGCCACACTGCCTATAGTTGAGCAGTGGGATTTTGGGTCCCATTGCAAGGAGGGGAGCCTGAGCTACATCTCTTTGAATTGTGGTTTAGTGCCAACCCTGTCAATCGTTGATGCTGGATTTGAACTCAAGACAGAAGGCAGTTGCCTGAGTACTACTGAAGCCACTTAAAAAAAAAAGAGAGATATATTTGGTCTTTCTGGATAGCTCAAATAGAACACATTCATTGAGCAAGAACTACATATTTACATAACTTGTTTTCTCACTCTTTCACACTTGATGCCCTCTTTACTTCGGTACGCAAAATTCTCGCATTAGAAATCAGCAGATGTGTTGTCATTTCACAATGGGTCACGGGTAGGTTTTTCTATAAATACAAATTTACTTGCGGGTCAATAGAAGCTGACATGCATATGATTTCACTTCTAGTAAAACTATGTCTAAGAATAAGAGATAAACAATTTGTCTACATAGTTCAGCTGAACACCAGAATGCACTTGCTACTGGAGATGTCCACTACCATATATATGAAAAGGCTCCTATTTCATATTTGCATTTCCAACAGTCTGGGCTGTACTTACTGCTGCAAGCGAACTCAAAACATCCAGGGCAGAGAGATAAGGAAACCTCTGGCCCTCTGTATATTGCTGGACCCCACAGTCCTCATCCCTGAGCCATCGGTCATGCAGGCTGGAGCTTATGAAGTCTGAGTATCATGTAGTGTGTGTATAATTTTGATTGCACACTTACAAAAATATCATACTAGCCTATTATTATTATTATTATTATTATTATTATTATTATTATTATACCACCCTATACCTGGGGGTCTCAGGGTGGTTCACAGATGTTGGCTATTAACGTTTACTATATTTACAATGCAATCTAAGTTACAGGTGCGACTTAACACCTGTAATAATGCACTCTCTTAGCATGGCCACTATCAGGCAGTCACCTTCACTGCACTCTTTTCAGAACCTGCTAAAAACATTTTTGTTTAGACAAGCCTGCCCAGGTATTTAGAAGGTTGATGCGAGTTTAAATCTGTTTTTAGTCTATTGCTATTTTAACTCTTCAAAAGTCTTAAATTATTGCTGCCAATTCTTCTTATGGATAATTTTTTAAATCTTTTTTTTCTTCAATCGATGATGTTTTATCTTTTCTGTAAACCCCTTTGAGGGTGGACAAATTTTATGACATAAAAAGATATGCAAATTTGTTGCCTGTTCTGTCCTCTTTTTTGGTGATGGCATTTTTATTATTATCATTGAATGACTAATAATAATAATAATAATAATAATAATAATAATAATAATAATATTTCATTTATATCCCGCCCTCCCCAGCTGAAGCCGGGCTCAGAGCAGCCAACAACAGTAAAATAATACAGCATTCTAAAATCAATTCATTATAAAATCAGTTCAGATCAAATTGATAGCAACCATTGGGCTAGAGTTATGTGAACAATTACCAAAGGAGGAGGTCAGGCTGTGCCTTGGCCAAAGGCCTGGTGGAACAGCTCTGTCTTGCAGGCCCTGCGGAAAGATGTCAAGTCCCACAGGGCCCTAGTCTCTTGTGACAGAGCGTTCCACCAGATCGGGGCCACAGCCGAAAAAGCCCTGGCTCTGGTTGAGGCCAGCCTAACCTCCCTGTGGCCCTCCAAGATGTTTTTGTTTGAAGACCGTAAGTTCCTCCGTGGGACATACCAGGAGAGGCGGTCCTGTAGGTACGAGCCGTATAGGGCTTTAATGGTTAAAACCAGTACCTTAAACCTGATCCTGTACTCCACTGGGAGCCAGTGCAGCCAGTGTAGCACCAGGCGAATGTGATCCTGCAGCGAGGACCCCGTAAGGAGCCTCGCCACAGCATTCTGCACCCGCTGGAGTTTCTGGGTCAGTCTCAAGGGCAGCCCCACGTAGAGCGAGTTACAATAATCCAGTCTGGAGGTGACCTTCGCGTGGATCACAGTGGCTAGGTCAGGGAGAGAGAGGTAAGGAGCCAACTGCTTAGCTTGGTAGAGATGGAAAAATGCCGCCTTTGTTATAGCTGCAATCTGCGCCTCCATGGAAAGGCATCAACACCACAAGGGATATTTATCCACTCTGCATCTCTCTGAACTGCCCCCCTCCCTCGCCATCAGCAACCCTGAGTGCTGGCTCATCTCTTTCATCCCCCCCTCCATCCTGCCGGTCATTAAAGTTGCTGTCAGCTCATTGATGGCACACGAGCTGCCCGTGTGCAGCTGGAGGTTCGCAAACATCTCCCGTTCCAGGCACAGCTCTGCCCCAGACAACAAAGGGCAAAGTGTGAGTGCAGAAGATGGCCTGATGTTTGCGAGGCCTTCTGAGCAGCTGGGAGCAGGGTCGAGACATCCACGGGTCTCCCCCCACTCGGGGGGGGGGGGCAAGGCCCACATAGAAGAAAAGTGACCGCTTGGAGCATCCTCTTTGGCAGAAGGGTCAGCACGCGTCAGGCCTCAAGTTGGATGAGGCATGGAGATCACCAGTCTGTCCGGACCAGACAATAGTATCATAGTCATCCCTTTGGCCAGAGAGACCTGCAAGTAGCAAAAGCATTGGTGTGGTATATATGTAACAGAGGAGGGGGGCTTTGATGAGTATGTGGGAAGGGGAAGGCCTACTATGATCTTCCTACCCAGCAGATGAGAGGAGAGGTGCTCATCCTGCAAACAGGAGTAGTAGTAATAATAATAATAATAATAATAATAATAATAATAATAATAATATATTTATACCCTGCCCATCTGGCTGGGTTTCCCCAGCCACTCTGGGCGGCTTCCAACAAAGTATTAAAATACAGTAGTCTGTTAAACATTAAAAGCTTCCCTAAAGAGGGCTGACTTCAGATGTCTTCTAAAAGTCTGGTAATTGTTCTTCCCTTTGACATCTGCTGGGAGGGCGTTCCACAGGGCAGGTGCCACCACCGAGAAGGCCCTCTGCCTGGTTCCTTGTAACTTGGCTTCTTGCAGTGAGGGAACCACCAGAAGACCCTTGGCGCTGGACCTCAGTGTCTGGGCAGAACGATGGGGTTGGAGACCTTCTACCCCCTCTTCTAAAGCAATATTGGTTGGTGGTGTTGTAAACAAAATCAATCTGCCCTTTTTCCCTTATGGGGTATCCAAGAGCCCATATAGAGTCCTTATGTAGGACTTGTGTAGGACAGCTAGTAAGCCTGATCTTTATTGATCTGTTGCAACAGGGTGCTCCCCTCACACGCAGGAAAGGAGGAGGACCCAGAACAAAAGTGTGCCTATAGACATTTTAAATTCCCTCCCTGGAGTCCAAGACGACCCCCAATAACATCATACATATATCACAGAAGGGGTGTAGCTCAAGACCACCCCCTAGACACATCATACCTACATCACACAAAGGGCGGTCTACAGCAGAAATCTGAGTGCATTGTTTATCTCCTGTTGTTGTTTATCTCCTGTCTGGCAAGTTACCTGTTAATGCTTACTTGATTGGATACCCTGGGGAGCCTGGCCAGTCTTTTGTAATGATAAATACTTAGTTCCTGAGCCAGGTCACAGACTCACACCCTATTCATATCTTAAATGTGCCCTTAAGACAGGATTTGTGAAGGGGAGGCTTTTCCATTTTCCTTTGACCTTGCAGAGAAAACATCTGGTCAGTTTGGGAATCAAAATGGTTTCAGCTTGGTCTTCCTGTGCTGATCTATGTACGTGCTTGGTTGGTACATTTATGAACATTTAATATATATCTAAGACCTTCAAATTCTTATCATAGTGGACATCACTGCCTCTTGTGGGGCAAGTTCCACAGTTGAATTACTGTACATGCTCCATGGATGACTTTCTTACATCTGTCCTGAATAGAGTTGGGTCCCTTCCAACTCTATGATTCTATGAAGACTGAAAAGTTGCAAATGCTGCAATCCTTTTTCTTAGGGTAGTTGCAGAGGACACCAGAGGGAGCACCACAAGAATGACTTAGAACAGAAGGTGAGGGGAGGGTGGATGGACAAATTATGTCCTAGCACAGGGCACCACTGAAATTTGAAAGCCCCAAGTCCTCCACTGGGAGTCGCTGCCCCCACTCCATCATTTTGGTTGCCCTTTTCTGAACCTTTCCCAGCTCAACAACACCCTCTTTGAGGTGTGGTGGCCAGAACGGTACACAGTATTTCCAAATGTAGTCGCACCATCAAAGAAAGAAGAAAGTTTCTTTGTTCTTGCTTTGAAAGTCCCGAGAACCTTCTGGCACAAGTGTTGGAGAGGCAAAGAGGGTCCTTAATGAGCCACACTTTGACGCTCCTGGCGTCAGAACAAGCTGGCTTTCTGAAGGACAAGAGGCTGCTAAGAGGCCTTTGTGCCTGTGGACAAATCTCCAGAGAGGCTCTCTTGACTGACAAGTGATGCCAAGGGCCACTTAGCTGTACTTTATTTCTTTTGAAAGAACTTGGTGAGAACAGGTAGAGGACACACAGCAAATCACCTTCGGCGCTTTGGTGCCAGGAACCCTATATAAACGGAGCCCTCCTCTCTCGTGCCTGGAAACAACCAGGATCAGTGGGGACAGCTGAAAGCTAGCCAGAAGACTCGTTGCACGAGATGGAGAATAACAGCAAAAGTAGCAAGGATGTCCTGATGATAGAGGCACCCCCGGTGAGTCTTTCTCCACTTGGGACTGAGTTCCTGCTCCTGCAGGTATGGTGTGGAGTCCAGCAAGGAGGGCTGAGCTGGAGAGAGAGGGATGCCCAGGGATGGCCCATAGCATTTGGAACTGGGGCAAGGTGGTCCTCTGGGATGTTCTCCTGCCTGCTCTCCACTCCAAGGGGCTTGTGATGGAGAACGTCCCACTGGACTCTGCCCTATAGATTCTGCTCTGCCAGGGGTTGGACTGAAAGGCCCTTGGGGTCCTTTCCAACTTGACAGTTATATGATTCAATGGGCCTGTCTCCCACTCTGCTGCCATTTATGGTGCCCAAAATCTGTCCCGCGAGACGGCAGACCTAACACTAAAACCACCCACACATTGGATTATGAATGGATGGGTGGATGAATAGAAGCTGTGGTTGCATCAAATGGCTTTGTCCTTCTGTGCTCCCCTCTAACTATACAGTGTATACATTTTGGTTCCTATTTCCTCAGTGCCTCAGCTCTTACTAAGGTGGTAAATCCGTGTCTGCGAGCCCCACTTTAAGCTGCATGGTGCGGGGTGTCACATGAAGGAACCTTCCTCTATACAGGAATTCCTGCACATAGAAAGCTAGCCTGCAAGGGTCAAAGTCTATCCTTTTCTCTAACAGGCTGGGTTTTTTATGCACAGGGATTTTTGCTGTATGGAGGAATATTCCGTCATATGAGCCTCTACCTGTAATCTGAAGTGGTGCAGTCCAGAGGCAGTGCAAACTATGGAACTCACTCCCACAGGAAGTAGTGATGGCCACCAACTTGGATGGCTTTGGAAGAGGATGAGACAAGAAGGAACACTTTATCATATGTGGTGGGAATGTAAGAAAGTAAAGAACTTCTGGGAAATGATATATAGTAAGATGAAAAAGATGTTGAAATATACATTTTTTTAAAAACCAGAAGCATTTTTACTTGGTATTATAGGTCAGGACATTAGTAGGCATGATGTTAAATTGTTTCTATATGCAACAACAGCGGCAAGGGTGATGTTAGCCCAGAAATGGAAGCAAGAAGAAATTCCGATGAAAGAAGAATGGCAGATAAAATTAATGGACTATGCAGAACTGGACAAAATGACAGGAAGGATTTGAAACCTGTGGGACCAGAGATTTGCAGAAGATCGGAAGAAGTATACCAACTATTTGAAGAGCAATTGTAATCAACAAATTATGCTAGTAGGACTACAAGAAGATCTGTAAAGAGAAAAATATGAAACGTTACAAAGTAGAAAAAGAAAAGAGATATCAGTTATGAGATTTAAATGTAATAGGGAAAGTAATAATAATAATAATAATAATAATAATAATAATAATAATAATAATATAATATCTTTATTGTCATTGCCCCCTCTCAGGGACAACGAAATTACTATATTAGAAATGTATATTAAGAGATTAGATTGGAAAATTTTCAGACAGGATTGATGGAAGTAAAAAAAAATTGTATAAGATGCAAAAGTATGTTTATTTACTGTTGAAAATGATAGGTTAAAACACACACACACACACACACACACACATATATGGAAGAGGATGAGACAAATTCATGGAAGAGGAAAAGGCTATCCATGGCTACTTGCCCTGATGGCTAGGCTCTGCCTCCACAGTCAGAGGCAGCAATCTTCTGAATACCAGTTGCTGGAAACCACAGGAGGAGAGAGTGCCGATCTTCTGCAAGACTCCTGCTTGCTGCTTTCCCACGCGCATCGGTTGGCCACTGTGAGAAGAGTTTGCTGGACTAGATGGGCCATTGGCCTGATCCAGTCGGCTCTTTTTATGTGCTTACGTTTACTCCTTCCATGAGACCTTGTATGTGCCTCTGTCCGATCATTCTGTCTGGGTCAAAATGTACCACAACGTTCTCATGAGCATCTTTTCTGGTTCTGCAGGGTTACACAGCCTCCCCCCGGCTCCCCGGACTACCTTGCAAGAAGCTCTTGATCGTGGTGGTGGTGGTGGTGGTGATCGTTTTGGTTGTCCTGGCTTTTGGGCTGATGGGCCTGCGTATCACGGAGAAGCACACAGAGACAGTAAGTACAGCATGATGAATCACAGAATTGTAGAGTTGGATGGGACCTCACGGGTCATCTAGTCCAACCCCCTGCAATGCAGGAATCACAGCTAAAGCGTCCAAGACAGATGGCCACCCAACTTCTGCTTAAAAACCTCAAGTGAATGAGGTCTGTGAGTCACCTCAAGAAGTGCCACAGCTAGTACAGTGGTACCTCGGGATGCGAACGGGATCCGTTCCGGAACCCCATTCACATCCTGAATAGAACGTAAGACGCGACGGCCGTGTTTTGCTGCTTCTGCGCATGCGTGTGACATCATTTTGAGAGTCTGTGCATGCGTGAGCAGCGAAACCTGGAAGTAACGCGCTCTGTTACTTCCGGGTTGCACCGGAGCGCAACCTGAAAGTGCTCAACCTGAAGCACATTCAACCCGAGGTATGACTGTAATTCCTCAAATGCCTGTTGGGGCTAAAGGTGGGTCCTTCACCTGCGAAGACTGAAGACAACTGGCTTAAACACCTGTGCACTGAACCTTGTTGAGTACTGTGGTTTCCCTAAGCAGAAGCAAATTCCAAGGGGGAAGACTCTGCTAAACAGCGGGTTAACCTTTAGCGCTCCAGATCTTGCTGGACTCCCACTTCCACCACCCTTGGCTACTTGTTCCCAGACCTGCTGGGTGAGGAGTCCCACCATACCCGGAGGGTCAAAGGTTCCCACTCCTCTGTCTTCTTCCCAAAATGATGGTAGTTGTTTGTTTTCATAGTACTGGCGACTCTCAAGGCCCGTACACACTTCCACCAGTGTGTTGTAGTGGTTAAGAGCAGTAGACCTGTAATCTGGTGAACCGGGTTCGCGTCTCCGCTCCTCCACATGCAGCTGCTGGGTGACCTTGGGCTAGTCACACTTCTCTGAAGTCTCTCAGCCCCACTCACCTCACAGAGTGTTTGTTGTGGGGGAGGGTTTGTTGTGGGCCTAAAGCGGTTGAAACTGGCCAAGACTGGTTTAAACCAGCCTCGATCGGTTCAAACCAGTTTGGACTGGTTCAAGCTGGTCTCAACAGGTTCGAACCGGTTTGGACTGGTTCCAACCAGCCTGGACCTGTTCTAAAAATCTTGGGCCAGTTTCAAATGAAACTGCACCTGCTCCAACTGGCCTGGACCTGCTTGAATCTGTCTGGAACTGTTCAAACAGGCTTGGTCTGGGACAAACTAAGAGCCAGTGTGGTGTAGTGGTTAAGAGTGGTAGACTTGTAATCTGGTGAACCGGGTTCGATTCCCCGCTCCTCCACATGCAGCTGCTGGGTGACCTTGGGCTAGTCACACTTCTCTGAAGTCTCTCAGCCCCACTCACCTCACAGAGTGTTTGTTGTGGGGGAGGAAGGGAAAGGAGAATGTTAGCCGCTTTGAGACTCCTTCGGGTTGTGATAAAGTGGGATATCAAATCCAAACTCTTCTTCTTCTCTTCTTCCACTTGCCTGGAAAGCTTGGGTCTGAGTGGTTTTCCACTTGACCCACACTTTCTAGGCAGTCCTCCCCTTGCTCCACTCCTTTCCCAGGGAAAACCCACACTTTAGCTCTAAACTGGAGCAAACATCCATCCAGGAAAAGCCTGAATTCCTGTTTGCTCCAGCTGAGTGCTAAGAAGCAGTTCTAGGGACAGCGCATAAAGTCAAAACCAGGTGGGATTGCCCATGTTTTTTTTCCTGGACTCACATCCCCTTTCCACCTCTTATATTTATATTTATATTATTTATATTTATATTATTTATATTTATATTTATATTTATATTTATATTTGTATTTATATTTATATTTATATTTATATTTATATTTATATTTATATTTATATTTATATTTATATTTGTATTTGTATTTGTATTTGTATTTATATTTATATTTATATTTGTATTTATATTTGTATTTATATTTATATTTATATTTATATTTATATTTATATTTGTATTTATATTTATATTTATATTTATATTTATATTTGTATTTGTATTTATATTTATATTTATATTTATATTTATATTTATATTTGTATTTATATTTATATTTATATTTATATTTATAATATTTGTATTTATATTTATATTTATGTTTATATTTATATTTATATTTGTATTTATAATATTTATATTTATATTTATATTTATATTTGTATTTATATTTATATTTATATTTATATTTATATTTATATTTATATTTATATTTATATTTATATTTATATTTATATTTGTATTTGTATTTGTATTTATATTTATATTTATATTTATATTTATATTTATATTTGTATTTGTATTTGTATTTATATTTATATTTATATTTATATTTGCAAAGCATGTAAAGCTGAAAGCACCCAAGTTAAATGCTCCAGTTCAAACATCTCGTTCCCTTTGCTCTTCATCACTCAACATGGTCTCCTTTTCAACGTCTAGGTCCTGCAAATGACCATCCAAGGCCTGGATGGGGAGGGCTCCCCACAGCATCTTTCCATGAGCAGGAAGGAGAGACTGGCCACCTTCCATGTCAGCAGGGTCAACTCTTCGGCCACCGTGGTGTATGACTACAGCAACGTAAGATTTGCTGAAAGTGGTTCCTAGTTCCCAAAGGAGTCGTGCAGCTTTGCCCAAGGCCTGCTTGTCCACCCAGCAGGTCCCTTTTAGAAATAATAACATCTATCCTGACAAGGGAGCAAGTCAGTGGCGAGTCCTGGTGGGGCTGGCTGGATCTGTTGGTTTCCTTAAGCACAAAGGACAAGAAATATTGTGTCACCTTAAAAGCTAACTAGATGGGACGCGGGTGGCGCTGTGAGTTAAACCTAGGACTTGCCAATCAGAAGGTCGGCGGTTCGAATCCCCACGACGGGGTGAGCTCCCATTGCTCGGTCCCTGCTCCTGCCAACGTAGCAGTTCGAAAGCACATCAAGTGCAAGTAGATAAATAGGTACCACTCCAGCGGGAAAGTAAACGGAGTTTCCGTACGCTGCTCTGGTTCGCCAGAAGCGGCTTAGTCATGCTGGCCACATGACCCAGAAGCTGTACACCGGCTTCCTCAGCCAATAAAGTGAGATGAGCTTTGCAACCCCAGAGTCGGTCACGACTGGACCTAATGGTCAGGGCTCCCTTTACCCCTTTAACTTTTAAAAGCTAACTTGAGACTATGAAAGTTTATGTCCCAAACTTCCCCTTGCTTATCTGCGGGGATTTTCATCCTTGAAAAGTCCGAATCAGAAAGAAAAACCCTGCGTTTAAAGTGGGAAAGGGCTGGTACTGGGACAACATTGGAATGGGCTACACATTTTCTTCTGGTTTGGACGAGCCCTTGGGGCTGATCCAGGCTTCCTCTTGTGTCACTGCTTCCCCCGTGGAAAGCCACTCTTCAGTGCAAATGGCAATTTAGGTTTTCTCTGGATGGCCATTTCTTCTGATCGATCGCAGGTTTTCCTTTGGAAAGGAGAGGGCAAGGGGCAAGCCTCTGTGATGCATGCCTAGAACGTGCAAATCAAGCAGAAGACTGCTCAGACTCATGCTGTCTAGGCATGGCACAAGGGGAAGTGTTGCTGAGCCCAGCACAGTGGTACCTCGGGTTACATACGCTTCAGGTTACATACACTTCAGGATACACACTCCGCTAACCCAGAAATAGTGCTTCAGGTTAAGAACTTTGCTTCAGGATAAGAACAGAAATCGGGCTCCGGCAGCACGGCGGCAGCAGGAGGCCCCATTAGCTAAAGTGGTGCTTCAGGTTAAGAAAGTTTCAGGTTAAGAACGGACCTCCGGAACGAATTAAGTACTTAACCTGAGGTACCACTGTAGTGGAAAGGTGGATTAGAACCAGAAGAGAATTGAGAGCAGGGCAGGGCAGGTTAATCCCAAGAGAAAAGCCTTCCCTCTCCCTTCAAAAAGTCTGAAGCATCGTATCAAAGCCACACATGCTTCTTATTGACATGATAGACGTTTGTAAAATTTTGCCTGGCATGGAAAAAGCGGATGGGGAAAAGTTTCCCCTCCCTCTCTCCTAACACTAGAACTCCTGGCCATCGACTGAAGCTCAGCGTTGGAAGTGTCAGGACAGAGAAAAGAAAGCACTGCTTCATGCAGCACATAGTTAAACTGCGGAACTCACTGCCACAAGAGGCAATGAGGGCCACCAACTAAGATGGGCTTTGAAAAGAGGATTAGACAAATACATGGAGGAGAGGTGGCTACTAGTCTTGCTGACTATGCTCTGCATCCTTGTGAATAGCAGCTGCCTGGAGGTGCGAGTGTTCTTGTGCTCAAATCCTGCTTCTGGGTTTGCCATTAGGGACATGAGAGCAGGGTGCTGGACTAGATGGGTGGCTGGCCTGATCCAGCAGCCTCTTCTGATGTTTTTATATGTTCTTATTTATTTGGGGGGATGCGGGTGGCACTGCTGGTAAAAGCCTCAGCGCCTAGGGCTTGCCGATCGAAAGGTCGGCGGTTCGAATCCCCGTGGCGGGGTGCGCTCCCGTTGCTCGGTCCCAGTGCCTGCCAACCTAGCAGTTCGAAAGCACCTCCGGGTGCAAGTAGATAAATAGGGACTGCTTTCTAGCAGGAAGGTAAACGGTGTTTCCGTGTGCGGCTCTGGCTCGCCAGAGCAGCGATGTCACGCTGGCCACGTGACCCGGAAGTGTCTCCGGACAGCGCTGGCCCCTGGCCTCTTGAGTGAGATGGGCGCACAACCCCAGAGTCTGTCAAGACTGGCCCGTACGGGCAGGGGTACCTTTACCTTTACCTTTATTTATTTGGGGGAAGAATAAAATGTGTTGTCAAAAGGGCTCATTCTGCTCTGAAAACCAAAAGCCTTGGCATTTGACTCAGCCCTAGTCTTTGCTTACCTAGTGTGCGTGAACAGAAGATACAACAGAGGAAGGCACAGGGAGAGAAGCTTGGAGGGGGGCATGGGGTCTGGGATATGAGGTAGAGCCCTGAGAAGGTGGGGTTGCCCTTGCACACATACCTTGTTGAGATCCAAAATATGTACAGTATAAAGGTAAAGGGACCCCTGACCATTAGGTCCAGTAGTGGCCAACTCTACTGGACGCGGGTGGCACTGTGGGTAAAAGCCTCAGTGCCTAAGGCTTGCCGATCGCATGGTCGGCGGTTCGAATCCCCGCGGCGGGGTGAGCTCCCGTTGCTCGGTCCCAGCGCCTGCCAACCTAGCAGTTCGAAAGCACCCCCGGGTGCAAGTAGATAAATAGGGACCGCTTACCAGCAGGAAGGTAAACGGCGTTTCCGTGTGTGGCTCTGGCTCGCCAGATGCAGCTTGTCACGCTGGCCACGTGACCTGGAAGTGTCTGCGGACAGCGCTGGCTCCCGGCTATAGAGTGAGATGAGCGCACAACCCTAGAGTCTGGCAAGACTGGCCCCTAGGGGCAGGGGTACCTTTACCTTACCTTTAGTGGCCAACTCTGGGGTTGCGGCGCTCATCTCGCTGTATAGGCCGAGGGAGCCGGCGTACAGCTTCCGGGTCATGTGGCCAGCATGGCTGAGCCGCTTCTGGCGAACCAGAGCAGCGCATGGAAACGCCGTTTACCTTCCCGCCAGAGCAGTACCTATTTATCTACTTGCACTTTGACGTGCTTTCAAACTCCTAGGTTGGCAGGAGCAGGGACCGAGCAACGGGAGCTCACCCTGTCGCAGGGATTCGAACCGCCTACCTTCTGATCAGCAAGTCCTAGGCTCTGTGGTTTAACCCACAGCGCCACCCGCATCCCTATGTACAGTATACCCACAATAAAATACCTCCTGCAATACAGGAACCACAGCTAAATTGACAGCCTTTGCCTTTGAACAGCTCCTGATTGGCTACAGATCTTGGCCGGGACAGTCCTGCTACATCACCAGAATGAAGAAGGAAAACATCCAGAGCCTGGATGCTGCTGTCAAGGTGTTCCAGAACATCCAGGTTAGAATAATTGCCCTAACTCTACATTCAGAGTTTCCAAGGCATGGAAAAAGCAAATCATGTGGGAAGATTGCTTCTGGACTGTACCACTTCACACAGTGCAGCTGGCTGAATGTCCCACAATCCTCCAAAACAACCACAAACCCAGTGCTGGGACACATAACACCCCAGTCTGCAGTAATCCAAGGACATTGTGATTTGCTGTTTGGGCTGTTTGGGATAGCAGTTGTCTTTTGAGAGTGGATAGACGGGGATCCCTGTCCTTAAGGCTGGCTGCCACTGGTTTGCAGGCAGGACATGAAGGCAGAATGATAACAGACCAGAGCTTTCTCATGTCCCATTTCTCCATTCGGGAAAAACTGCTCTTTAGTGCTCAATCAGAGCAAATGGCAATTCCGTTTTTCCATAGGTTACCATTTGTTCTGATCTATCGCAGGTTTTCCCTCCCTCAGAAAGGAGTGGGGCAAGGGGAAAACCACTTGGACCCGTGCTTTCTAGGCACACAGGACAAACGGATGTGTGAACAAGTCCCAAGAGCTGAAGGGAATCCATCCACACCCACCTGTTGATTGTCGGAACATCTTTAAAGCTGCTTAGAAAACTATGCAGAACCTTTCCCAGAGGGATTTGGAGGGACTGTGTGAAGCGGTCAGGCTGTGTCAAAGTTTGCAGGGCAATTTTATATTTCGGAGAAACATACAGTTATAGAATTGGATGGGGTTCCCCAGGGTCGTACCATTAACAAAGAGATCTGTTTTTGCAGCCCAGACCTCCAGCGTCATTCCTCAAAGAGAATGAGGAGGGAACAGAAGGGCTCCCGGCGCCGCTCGCTGACCGTTCTATCCTGGGTACCACCATCAACATCCTCTGTAGCAGCGTCCCCATCTACTGGGCTTAGAGGAGGAGAGATGGGTGAGAGAAATGAAGACCAAAGACCCAACAGAACATGCACACCAGCAACGAAAGTCAAACTTCCTGCAACAGGAATGCTATGCAAGAGAGATCCCTGAAAATGGCCCTGTGGCCCTCAGCCTTTAAGTAGAGATCATAGAACTGCAGAATTGGAAGGGACCCAAAGTCTCATGGAGTCCAACCCCCTGAAATGCAGGAATCACAACAGATGATAGAGATGATAGATAGATAGATAGATAGATAGATAGATAGATAGATAGATGATAGATAGATAGATAGATAGATAGATAGATAGATAGATAGATAGAGATATATCTGCAAACAACACCCCTTTGCTAATGTCTTGGCCTCAGGGGATTTGCTAATGCCTTTGCTAATGTCTTGGTCGATTGCCATGACTTCATTAGAATAGAAAGCCACATGCAGCAAACACATGGATTGAAGCATTGCTAGACTAAGCCATTTCATGGGAAGGGGAGCCATTCATCAAAGGCAGAGCCCATGCAGAAAGTCCCAAGTTCAAGCCCTGGTATCTCCAAGGTACCATTCTCATGCCTGAAATCATGAGGAATCAAATGGTGGAGAACATGCTGAGCTAGCTGGACCCATCTGGGCTCAGGCTACAGATAGAAGCTGGAGTGCATGTTCTCATATCTGCACACACTTCTGGCATGGTATTTCATAATCATTTTATTTCACAAGATTTGTACTCAGCTTGATCGTAAAAAAAAAAAGCAACAACCTCAAAGCGGATTACAAAAAAAAGATAAAACCAAAAAATTAACAATAATTTAAGACCTACAAAAGTAGGGTTGGCATACATCCGGAATTTCACAGACATACATGGAATACCGCAGTCAGAAGCACTGTCCGGGTGGAAATTGGGCAAAAAAAAAAGTCTTCGAAAATCTGGACGTACGGCAACCATGTCAGCAGTGTCATTTTTCTTTAAAAATTGCTGGGGAAAGTCCTTTTTATTGTGATTTCACCAAAAAAGAACCTTGGGCAAAAAACCCCAAAACAAAACAAGCCATCTCAACAACATTCCCAAGAGGGGAAAAAACTCAACAACTTTTGTGTCCAGATTTTCACTTTTTGAAATATGGCAACCCCACGAAAAGTTAAAATAACAACAGGCTAAAAAGCAGATTAAAACTCATATCAATCTTCTAAATATCTGGGTTAGGCTGCCCTAAAACTTAAATATTTTCAGCAGGTGCTGAAAAGAGTACAGTGAATGTGTGCACCTGGTATCAATAGGCAGGGAGTTCCAAAGTCCTAAAAGACTGAGTTCATACAAATGTGGAACAGGTATTATGTGGCACCTGTAGCAGTGCCAGTTCTGCCAAAGAGGTCCAGCGGGCAAGGCAATCTTGCGGGTAATAACTCTCTCCATGCCAGCTTAGTGTGTGCAGGATGCTAGTCCAACATGTGCAGAGAGAGTTTGCTTTCAGATGGGGGGCGGGGGGAGACATCCAGACATTTAATCCACTAGCTGCAAATTGAGGGAAGGCACTTAGTCCAACCATGTTATCATCATGTATCCTGGCCCTAAGCTGATGGGAATTCAAGACAAGGCAAGAAAACACATTTTATGTACTAAACCTTTTTTAAAAAATCCATTGTTATAAGAATACAGTAATTCTGCTTGAACATCTCTAGCTGCTGATATCAACCATGCACATCTTTTTATTGTATACTTTGTACTGGTCGTTTGCTGGTTATGTTCCCCTTTTCTTAACGCTGCTTGTCAAATCTATAATAATCAATAAACTGCAAGAAGGCAAAATCTGAGCTTTTGGGGGGGCGGGGATGTCTTAATAATGCCAGAAAAGATCTGGCCTTGAGTTTGCTGTGAGTTTGCTGGAAGATCCAGTACGTATAAAAATAAGTATTTCTTTATGCAGCACATAGTTGAACTATTGTAAAGAAAAAAATCTGCCCCTTTTCCCTTATGGGGAATCCAAGACCCCATATAGAGTCCTTACAAAGGTTTCTTATCGGTAGGAGAAAATAACAGAGGCCAAACAGAGAATATTGAGAAGCAAAGCAGCTAGTAAGCCTGATCTTTATTGATCTGCTGCAACAGGGTCCTCGCTCACCACACACAGGAGGGAGGAGGAACCCAGAAAAATGGCATGCAAGGCCTTATATAGACATTATAAATTCCCTTCCCTAGAGCTGAAGACCACCCCTCCATACATCACACATACATCACAGAAGGGGTGTAACCTAAGACCACCCCCCAGATACATCATACCTACAGCAGAAATCTGAGTGACTTGTTTATCTCGTCTGACAGGTTACCTGTTTAATGGTCACTTGATTGGACTGATAAAAGATTACAGTCTTTTGTAAAGATAAATACTTAGTTCCTGGGCCAGGTCACAAGCTCACACCCTATTCATATCTTAAAGGTAAAGGTACCCCTGCCCGTACGGGCTAGTCTTGCCAGACTCTAGGGTTGTGCGCTCATCTCACTCTATAGGCCGGGAGCCAGTGCTGTCCGGAGACACTTCCGGGTCACGTGGCCAGCGTGACATCGCTGCTCTGGAGAGCCAGAGCCGCACACGGAAACACCGTTTACCTTCCCGCTAGTAAGCGGTCCCTATTTATCTACTTGCACCCGGGGGTGCTTTCGAACTGCTAGGTTGGCAGGCGCTGGGACCGAACGACAGGAGCGCACCCCGCCGCAGGGATTCGAACCGCCGACCTTTCGATCGGCAAGTCCTAGGTGCTGAGGCTTTAACCCACAGCGCCACCTGCGTCCCAATTCATATCTTAAATGTGCCCTTAAGACTGGATTTGTGAAGGAAAAAGACAATGGGGAGGGTTCCCACTTTGACCTTGCAGAGAAATACAGTGGTACCTCCAGTTACATACGCTTCAGGTTACATACGCTTCAGGTTATTGACTCCGCTGACCCAGAAATAGTACCTCAGGTTAAGAGCTTTGCTTCAGGATGAGAAAAGAAATTGTGTGGCGGCGGTGCAGCAGCAGCGAGAGGCCGCATTAGCTAAAGTGGTGCTTCAGGTTAAGAACAGTTTCAGGTTAAGAATGGACCTCCAGAACAAATTAAATACGTAACCAGAGGTACCACTGTAATTGGGGTCAGTTTGTTAAGGACTTTTTTTCTGTGGGGTTTTCAGACATGTGGTTTATATTTTTATGTACGTGTTTGCTTGGTACATTTATGAACATTTATTACATATCTAAGACCTTAAAATTCTTATCACACTATGACAGGGGGCAGTGACAGCCACCAATTTGACTGGACAAATTCATGGAGGAAAGGGCTATTGGTGGCTACTAGCCACCCAAGTTTGTGGCTATCGCTGCTTCCTGTGGGAGCGAGTTCCATAGATTAACAATCTTAGTGCAAGAATCGCTTGCTAACATGGACAGACTGTGGCCCACAGCCGATAGATTGGCTTCTCCTCTCCACAATTTAGGAAACTGCTCAGATAAGAGGGAACAGTCAAGACAGCTATTTCCAGTCTTTCAAAGCATCCAGGTTCCACCTACAATTCTGGCCTAAAACAGAACAGCTGCCATTTGGAAGATCGCGTGAGATCTTTCCTATGAACACATACTAAATGGTTTAGCATTACATCTCTGCTGCTGTCATAACAGCAGAGCTCTGCCAATACACAGGGAAGGTTCACTTAGCGCTGTGGACAAAGGAGAAAGGTAGGGCAAAGGCATTATTGATGACACGGAATGCTTATCCTTGCTTCAGCTCACTCACAGTTAACCTCATACAAAGTGCTGATGGAATAGAGGAATATCCCACTGTTATAGGAATTCTAAGGTCTTATATATATATATGTCAGGGAACTGCCATCGGCTCATGTAGTGGTTCTAGGGGTTGCTCGTGCGTAAGCCGGTGCAAACACCTGGCTGGGTTGCCTGAGTGAACCTTTTCTTTTTCTTTTTTTTAAGAGATATTTATTCAAATTTTACAAAAAGAAAACGTAGGTTTACAAAATAGAGAAAATTATAACAACAATTAACAAACTAAAATTATAACAACAATTAACAAACTAAAAAAAACACACATAGGAAAAAGAATAAAAAAGGTACAAAATACAAAAAACAGGTAGCTGAAAAAAAGAAATTTAAAAAGAAGATATATCCATTTTTCAATATCTTTGGGCTCATTTACCGGTACTTGTTTCCTTGACCTCCTCACACCTCCCCTTTTTGTATTCCCATTCACAAAGACATTTCAGCAAATCCTTACCCTCTTTCAATTATCTTTACTCTATATCTTAACCTATTATAACTATATATTTTCATCCATTATCAATCCATATTTGCATATTCTTGTTAATCTTATTACCAATACCACTTATTTTCAATCCAACATCATTTTAATATTCATTAATTTTACTGAGTGAACCTTTTCTGTCTGGACAGCCACTCTCCCGTGGCTGTCTCAATCGCTGGCAGAATCCGTCAGTGGGCGTTTCTTAAATTTCTTCCAGCAAAGAAGCTCTTTGACGCCTAGTCTCCTCCTACTCTCTCTGCGCGAAAGCCTTCTGCGCAAGGAGGGCGTAGGCAGCGGAGGACCTCTACTCTCCCCGCTGGTCCCCGGCAAGGAGTCATGGGACCGCTTCGCCGCTTCCCCCATCTGCCCCCCTTCTCCACTGGTGCTACGCTGATTCTCTTCCCCAGAAGATGGGCTGCCTCTCCCAATCCCAGGACGCTCTCTGGAATCCCTCTGGATTTTGCTCTCTCTCTCCGGCACTGATGGCAGTTCCCTGACAGCTCAGGGGCGAGAGGGGGAAAGCCGGATGGATTACAGAGAGCCCCCAAAGATCGTGGGAAGCAGCACCTCCTTAGCGGAGGTGCGTAACCACGCCTCCAGTGGAGAGGAGCTTCAGGGCTCGGAGGAGGTGAGGTGGTGCCAGTTCACCTTGCCTGGGCAAAGCGGGGAGAAGAGAGGTCCTCTGTTGCCCATGTCCTCCCTGCGCAGTAGGCTTCTGCGCCGAGAGGGGAGGCGCAGATTGGGCGTCAAGAAACTACTCTGCTGGGGAAGGTTTAAGGACCGCCCACTCACAGATTCTGCCAGTGAATGAGCCAGCCACGGGAGAGTGGCGCTCTGCATGGTGAAGGGTTTTTGGCACCAATAACGAGGCTTTACAGCCGACCAGGGAGGCATTTGCCTGATTGCTCTCGAGTAACCCCCTGATATCCTTACAATATATA